TTATCTTTGTATTATGGAGACATATACATTTATATGATCTGTGTATATATATAATCTATACATATTTATAATTTTATATATTTAATACTCTATTCTGTCACATATATTTATACTAATATATATTTACATATGCATGTGCATACAAGTATAAATATATACGCACATACATATATGTTAATATACATATATTTACATATAATATAGATAAATATATACAAGTATATTTCCACACATTACATATGTATGAACACTATATATAAATGTAAATATGTACATACATATAGTTAGAGTGACATTCATCATAATGATAGTAGATATAAATGCACATTTCTAGTAGACTTTTTAACATTTAAAATATTTGTGCCAGATGTGATTAGGTTGGCATTGTTATTACTTCCCAATGTATCTGCAAAAGGGCTCAAGCTAGAAGTGTAGTTATGCCATTTTCTTGTCGTTTACCCATGTCTGCATTATTACTATAACCTTCAAACAGAAATTGCTTTGCAGGAAACTTTTAATACGATGTGCACATTTTGTTAGAGTTAGTTTAGTTAAAACTCTGTACTGAATCCAACACATGTCAATTTCTGTGTCTCAATATGTTGAAAACACAAGAAAACATGGAACCCCACTGTCAACTGCTCCATGGCATGGACCTTCTGGTCTTTCTTCGCAGCACCTCCCATACTGTGACTCAAGTCTGTTCAACATATGACAAATGAGGGGACCAGTCAGCCTATTATGCAATACTAGTAAAGCTGGATTTCTTTCTTATCTCTCCAGGTCTATGGATTTAGAAGTTTGAAGGAATCTACCTAAGCACGCAATGGCATTTTAAACTTAAAAACAATCTAAGATCCTTTTGAGAAACTTCCCAGAAAAATTCCCTTACCTCCAATATCTGCACTGAGAGCAGTTGGTCATTGAAATCCTGAAGCCTCGGATTGAGAACCCCTTTTCCAAAGACATATTATGTTCTCATGAAGGAATTTGGTTTAGTTAGAGAAGCATTAGGATTTATCCACAGATTTTTTTTTTTTTTTTAAAGATATAAACTTTAGTACTCAGATTTCTCAAACCAGGTCACTTCTTTTGTGGTCTCTTGTGTCAGTGGTAGACACTGTGGAAAGTCATTTCTCATCCTCACCTGAATTCTTTTGAACATCTTAAAGATCTCCTTCAGGATGTCCCCCAAAACAAGTAATATGTTATATTAGGACTTTCCTAACCAGAAAAACAGAGTTAGTATTTTAATTCTCTATTCTCTAAATAGTGCATAGAAGACAATGCACGTTCCTTCTGCCACGAGTTAAATCATTATTTGCTCTGATGAAGTCAACAGGATATAAACCACAACTTGATGGCAGAGCAAAGTGTTGGTTTCTGTTCTGGTCTCCCTTCCTTTCCCAGTCCATGTGGTCAGCATTTCCATACTGATATCCTCCACTGATATCCATGTTTCCTTAACCTTCAATCAATCTGAACCTCTCCCCCAATTCAACATATTATTTCAAATTTCTGCAATTTAAGTTCATTCTTGTATTAACTTCAAAGTCTTAATAGTATAGAATTTATTAAAAAATTTTTTTACCATGTCTTCTTTGAGCAGCTTGTCCTAGCTGCCTTGCTTTCTCCTGGGGCATCATACAGCAGAGAGAATTGAGAACATGGAATTTGAAGTCAGAAAAAGTAGAGATCAAATTCAAAATCAGCAACTGAATGTCTTTGTGGCTTTGAGTTAGACACTTATCCCTTCTGATCTCAGTTTCCTTATCTCTACAATGGGAACAGGGATACTTGCTGTTTCTGGCAGTCATGAGGATTAGACCTTTTCTTTTTTTAATTTAAAAAGTGAATATCTTTTAGTTCGTAAAAAACATACTTGGCCCTACCGTTTTCTTTTCTTTCTTTCTTCCCATCCTTTCTTCCTTTTTTCTCCATAATGTTCTTTTTTCTTTCTTCCTTTTTTTTATGGTTTCTACTTTTATAACTCAGAATTTATACAACTCAGAACATTTGTTTTAAAATCTCCTTCAGATTGTTCTATTACCTCCAATTCTTGGGGTGTAAATTCTCTCATTTTTTTTGATAGCTGAATACTGTCCCATTTGATGGATTGTTTTTGGCGTGGCTCGTAATTTTTGACTTTAAGTTTCTCTTCATAGCAAAATGTTTACTAAGGGTGTTCCACATGGCCTAGATTGTAGAAATACCTAAGTGCCTTGTTTTTAAAAAATCAACCTCTACTCTGTTCAAGGATACTGTTCAGTAGTTGTCACTTCCCTCCCCTGCAATCCAAGTTTTTCCTCCCTACTGGATCATTCCAATTAACTTACAGACATGCTGTAATAGCCCCTAATTTGTCTTATTTGGATATTTCCCCTTATAGCAAAACTTCTTGAAGTCTATATTTGTTGCTCCAGTTCTCCCATTCTCTATTCAACTCTCTCCTTTCATACTTTTGCTACTCCCAACTACTCTCATCAAAGTCACCAGTGATTCCCCTGTTGCTAAAACCAATGGTCAATTCTCAATCCTCATCATACATTTGGTCACTAGCATTTGATCCAGTTGATTATGCCTTCTTTCTTTTTCTTTGAACATTTTATGCACTTGGTTTCCAGGACATCCCTCTCTCTCTGTTTTCTTCCTGTCTCAGTGGCTCCTCAATCTCTTTCTCCTTTGGTGGACCCTCCTTCTTTCCCTGCCCTTATATGCTGGTGTGTCCTACGGCTCACCCTTCATACCTCTTCCCTTTATTTTTACTCATTATCTCAGGGCTTCGGCATTTATTATTTTCTCTGCCTGGAAAGCTCCCCCAGATATCCTCAAGCTTTGCTCTTTCACTCCAAGTCTCAGTTCAGGGTTTTATCAGTTGCCCCTTCCCTGACCATCCTATATAAATTACACTTCATCTCTAATACTACCTATTCCACCTTACCTTCATTTAATTTTCTCCACAGCACTTATCCTAACCCAACATACTTATTATTACTCATGTACTTATTTGTTGTCCAGCTTTTTCACAAAATATAAGTCTGTGAGGGCAGCAAGTTTATCAGTTTGGTTCAATGTTGTATACCCAGCTATTGGAACAATACTGGTATGGAAGAGGAAACTGATAAATATTTATTGAATAAGTAAGTGAATAAAAAAGATGGAAATACAAGACACATTTCTATTTTTTACTGAGCTGAAGTAGGTGTTGCTCAACTTATAAAACTTCTTTTTTGTTGTTCGGTGTGTTCAAAAAGAGGAAAGTTTCATGCTTCATTTAAAGTTGCCAGTTTATAAAGAAATTATTAAACTGTCAAGTGTTACTTCCATATCAAGAACCATCTACAGGTGTTAGAGTTCTCAACCTGAGGTTCATGGGTTCCATGGATGGGCTTCAGGGCTCTGTGAACTCGCTGAATTTGTGTGAAAAATTTTCTATATAGGTGTTTATGTGCATCTTCCTTGGGAAAATATTTATAGCTTCCATCAGGTTCACAAAGGAGTCTGTGGCCCAATTAAAGCTTTCAAATTACTGTAATCTTCCTTGGATATTGATCAGCCCAAAGCTAACATGTTGAAGATCAAAATCAATCACCTTCCTTCAAAACCATCTCCTCTCTTGACTTGCTTAGAAGCAAAGCACTTTGGTGTTGGAAGTAACACCCATTCAGGTGTCCCTCTAAATGTTCTTGATAAATTGTTCCCCATGCTCTACTCAGGTATTCATAAAGCAACATTGCAATACAAATCAACTTTAGAAACTTCCACCTGGGCTAAGCTGAACAGTAATTTTCACACAGTGAATATCTTTCAGGCCCTAGGATCTGGAGAATGTGTTGAATCCCTTTTCTGCTGGTCACTTTTCAGATATGTGAAGATATCCTGATCCACACCTTCCTCCTCTCCTCTCCTCAAAGCCTTATTTCTCCAGAGGAGATAGCTCCAGTTCCCGCTAACATTGGGACAGGGCACTTCACCATACTGACAACTCCTTTTCTGAATGCTCTCCAGTTTGCCAATTGCCCAAGATCGAATACACATATAAGACACACATAACTCCAACCGCTTAAATTTGGACATGATACTTCTATTAACGCAGCTTGGTATCACCAATGACTGTGGCTGAGTGCAGGATGGCCTGGAAATGGGCAAGGTTAGAAGCTCAGAAACTGGTGAGGAGGCGGCAGCCGTTCTCCTTATCTCGCTTAGAAATGTGGAAAGAAGGTAGGGGTACAGAATGGAGAGAGGGAGAGGTGTCTGAGAGATAAGGAGGTAAAATCACGGGACCTGGTGACTGTTCGCCTGTAGAAAAGGGAAGGAGAGGAAACGGAGGAGGCAAGGATGACATCCGTGTTGGAGTGAGTATAAGGGGGTACTGGGGATGAAGACGGACAGAGAAGAGACGAAAATGGGAAGAGAAGTTGGCACTCCACTGAACACCAACGCTGAAAGGGGAGAAGTGGAAGAACAGCCCAGGAAATGCAGAGTTTGTGAGAGTTGGAGAAGCAAGACAGAGCTAGGTGGCAGCACATTAAACGCCCCAGGAAGGCCAAGTCGGATAAGAATGGCAAAGGGGAGCAAGACCCAGGTTAAGAAACAGAGATGATGGCTCAGCTTGGGGTGTGGGACTGGCAAAGGGGTCTGGAATAGACAAGGGAATTATCTTTGTAGCCCTCTCAGTGTTTGGCCTAGCGTCTGGAACAAACTAAAGCCTCAATAAACGTCTGTTTGGTGAAAACTAAACGCACTGAAACTTGGATGAATGACTGAACGACCGGCTGCAGGCGACAAATAGCCGCGGTAGCGCGACGGCGGAGCGGGCGAGGAGGGGCAGCGCGGGTGGCCAATGGGAGCCAGTGCCTCAGTTTCGGCTCCGCCCCTCGTCCTGCCTCTCCCCGCAGCCGCCTGTCTCTCGCTAGCTGCCAGAAGCGCGCGCAGCCCCGGGTTTCCCGGAAGTGCCCCCGGAGCCAGCGCCACGGGCCTAGGTGAGCGTGCGCGGGCTGGGCGGACCCGGCCGAAACCTCCTGGGGTCCAGCCTGGCGCTGCCCACCTCCGCGCTAGATTCGGCCGGGCCCCGGGGAGCGGCTCCAGGGTCGGTGGACGCGCGCCGTGCTCCTGGGAGCGCGCACGGGGACGCGACGAGTGCGGGGGAAGGGCGGAGGGGATGTGAATAAACTCTGGGGTCGTGGAGACGCCTGTACCCCACCTAGCTCTTCTTCCTGGAGCCTGTGGGCCCCAAGACTCTCCAGCCACATGTCTGGACTGGGACTGAAAACAGGCCCCTGCCTCTTGTCTTCCCTCAAAGGCTGGCAATGAGCCTTCGGAAGAGAGAACCCTGTTGGACTGATGCCGGGACTCTCTCCCACCGGGGTGCTGTGGGAGTCGGGGCGGAGAATGGAGAATATATTGGTGGGCCACACTGCTCAATGCCTTGCAGGGCTTGAGCATCCCTGGCCTCCGGGGGTGTAAATGTCAGTAGCTTCCCAGAGCCGTTTGTGACAACCCATAAACCCGTCCCCGCAAATTTCCAAATGTTGGCTGCTCTCCTTTCCAAAATTCAGGCGTTAGAGCGTCCTATGTTTGAATTTGGCTGCCACTGCGAGCCTCAGAGATTCCTGATCTATATGTAAACTTTAATACTTGTCTTGCAGGGTAATAGTGAGGATTAAAAATGACACGAACAGAGGCTAATATGTACCTGATACATAGTGTTAAAGAGAACATTACTCAGACACTTGTTAACGATGGTAAGGCCCACTCGACTCAGCGGTACTACTACAATGAGGTTTGTGGTAACAGATAGAATACAAGGCCAAGTGGAGATACATAGAGTAGGGTGGAGGTTAGGAAAATTATTAGCAGGAAATATCTGGATTAAGGGGGCATTTCTGGCTAAGCTTGCCTGACAAGAGTTTTGCTGAAAGCAGACTATGGTGAATAAGGAATTTGATCAGATATCAAGGGTGGTACCCCTGGTGGGGGATGTAGAATCTGATCAAATATCAAAAGTGGAGGATTTTTTCTAAAATGGACCCAGCAAGGTTCTTGATAAAACTATACTAGAAGGCCGAAGGTCCAGGCCTAGTTAAAAAGAAGACTCAGGAGCTTGACTAAAGTTTGGTTAAGGAGAGAGTCTGTCAATAGCAAGTTCTCCACAAAAGGTCACTTATATATGTATGTATAGTAAGTATACTAACCTAGATGTACGTTTTAAAATTCATTCTAATTTGTTATAGCTTTAACAAATATAATTACTATACATTTGAGATAACCTTAAAATTTATTTTTGTAACTAATGAGCAGATTCTCATGAAGTCATTGGCATATAAACCCATAAACCCTCTCTAAAGTAATTTAATTTTGAATAATTGAGGCACTTATTTTAACCATTATATGAGAGTATAATAACTAAAATCAGATTTAAATATTTTATAAGATCCATAGTTTTCCCTAAATGTCATTTTCCCTAAATGTTTTTTCTAAATTGCTGTCTTAATTTGGGAACCAAATAAGTTTGAATGAATCTACTGATCAGTCTCTTGTATCTGAAATCTTGCTGCTTGTTATTTGAAGCTCAGAAGCCAAATAGACTTAGTGAAGGATACATGTGTATTTATTCAACTTTTAAAACATTTTTTAGAGCTGCATGTTTCTCTCTGAATAGTGCTTTAGCTATTTTCTACAAATTTTGATACGCTGTGTTTTCATTATCATTTAATAGGATAATATATTTTGATTTCCTTTGTGATTTTTTTCTTGACCTTAGGTTATTTAAGATTGTTATTTAATAATTTCCATATATTAGGATTTTCTAGATATTTTATTGTTGTCGATTTCAAATTAAATTGCGCTGTGTTCAGAGAATATATACTTTAAGATTCTAGTCCTTTGAAACTTATTATGCATATTGTGTTTTGGTGACTGTTACGTATTCACTTGAAATGAATGTGTATTCTGCAATTGTTAGGTTTAAATATCAATTCAATCAAGTTGGTTGATAGTGTTATTCTGATTTTCTATATACTTACTGATTTTTTTTTTTTTTTTAGTCTTCTTTTTCTATCAATTACTGAAGGAAGAGTTAAAATCTCCAACTATGATTGAAGATTTGTTCCTTCAGACCTGTTATGGAGTATATACACAGTTAGGGTTGTTTTGTGTTCTAGATGATTTAACCAATTTATCATAATGAAATGTCTCTCTTTTTTCTTTGTCTTTAAGTCTCTTGGTCAGGTACTGATATAGCCAAACCAGCTTTTATGTGCTTGCTGTTTGCATAGAATGTCTTTTTCTCACCATTTTATTTCCAAGCTATCTTTGTCTTTATATGTAAAATATCTCATGTAGACAGTATATAGCTGAGTCTTGTTTTTTTAAATCTGACGATCTATACTGTATAATTCAAGTATTTAGTCCACTTAGTCCATTTACATTTAATGTAATTACTGATATGGTTGAGTGTTAGTCTACCAAATTGTCTTTTTTTTTCATTTGATCTTTTTGGCATTTATTCTTCTCTTGATACTTTTCTATCACATTTTGGGTTATTGAATATTTGTTAGTATTCCTTTTTGGTTTTTTAACTATACCTCTTTGTGTAATATTTTTTACAACTAGCAGTATGCATCCTTAGGCTATCGAAGTTTACCTTAACTTATCAGAGTCTACTATTGTACCACTTTATACTTCATAATTCACATTTCTCATTTCCTGCCTCTCACTTAACACCTTTACACTTCCCATTTTTCACCTGATACCACCACTCACTTCCCACTATCTCTCAATTAGCTGTTACCCCCTCCTTTGTACTATTGTAATATCTTTTACTTCTACTTATGTTATATTCTATTTATACTATTATTATTTTTGCTTTTAACAGTCAGTTACCCTTTAAGCTGGTTAAAAAATAGAAGCATCATGCTTTATAGTCATCATATATTTGCCATTTTTGGAGATCTTTCTGTAGATCTTTCTTTCTGTGGATCTGAGTTTCTCTTCAACGGGAAGAATATCCTTTAAGCATTTTTTGTAGTACAAGTAACTGCTAAAGAATTCTCCTACCTTATTTATCTGTATAATGTTTTTATTTTTCTTTTTGAAACATGTTTTTGTTGGATGAAGAATTCTGGGTTAATGGTTCTTTTTCTAGAATTTGCATTTGGTTCTTTTTATAATTTGTTTCTTTGTAGAAAGACCTTATATCTTTTCTCATTAAGACTATTTTCTTTAAGTCCTCAGGCCATCTTGGGGTTGATTTCTCTTGATTGCTTTTTTGCTTGACTTTGAATCACATTTTCCTGTTTCTTTATATGTCTAGTAATTTTGGATTGCATTCTGGATATTGTAGATGACACACTGTTGTTGCAAAGGATTCTGTTTTCTTCCTCCAAAGAGTGTCGACTTTTGTTCTAGTAGGCAGTTCAATTACTGAATGATTACCTTTGATTTATGTTGGCTTGGTTTTACGCTTTGTTATTTGAGATCTTTGGAAAGCCCACAGTGTTTTCCAAGTTCTTCTAACTAGATCAGACCAGACCAGTAGACTAGGTCTCCCCCTGTGGATCTTGTTAAGGCTTGGCTTTATGCTCGTTAGGGCGGAGTTAGAGTAGGTCTTACTCTAGGGCATAGTCTTTACTCCTAATGTGTGACCTTTCTGGTATCTTAAAATGCCTTGAGCATTAATGAGAGCAGAGGTCTCTCCATATTCAGTGGTCAAAATCTCCCATGTCTCTCATCACTGATTGGCCTTTCATATCTCTCTTTTGCTCTTAACCTGGTAACAACTGTTCTCTGTTAAACCTTGCATAGTTTCACCCTGCTAATGAGTAGCCTAACTCTGGGTCAAAGGCTCACGGGGAAACCCCATACAGACTTCTGCCTCTATCCCCATAGCTCTCTCTTCTCCACTGCCCTGTTCTTCAGATTCCAGCCACTTCAGTGGCTCCAAATTCTGATCGCTGCCTCCTCAGTTTCTATTTTTTAAAGTGAGACCACTGATCCCTGCTTGAGCTTCACCTTCCTGCACCATGATTGGGAAATTGTCCTCATGCAGACAGCCAGGATGATCATGGGGCTCACTTCATGAGTTTTTCTTCTTAGGGATTTCATTCTTGCCTGCCCGTTGTCCACTGCTTAGAAACAGTTGCCTTATAAATTTTCTGTAGTTTTGTAGTTGTTTACAGTGGTGGGCTGGTGGTCTTGTCAATACTATCAATTACTCTGTCATAACCAGAAATAGCATTCCTGAACTATATTTATTGAGAATATATGTCACATGTGGCTGCTGCACGAGTATATACATATATATATTAACTTTGCTATTTTTTTGAACCCTTGAGAAATTTTGCTTTTTCGTTGTCATTATTGTTTTTTAAATGATTTTGTGAATTGTTTCATGAATTGTTTGGGTGAAGTGGAAGAGATGAGGACATTGCTTCTTATACTTTAAGGAAAAAGCAACTGTTAAAAACTAGAGTATTGTACTGATTTCTAATTAAACCAGACACCCAAGGGGTTGGGTGTTTTTTGATGGTTGTGGTTAGTATTATAGAGAAGTGATGACCTCTAGCTCCTTCATAATGTTTAATAATCCAATATTAGGTATGACATGCAAGAAAGCTAAGTAGATATAGTACATGATTCTTTTAAAATATTTTAATATTGACTTTGCTATTTAATATTTCTCTTTTCACCATCTTAGTTGCCATCTTCTATATTTTAATACCATTCACTGTAAAATAGTGATTACTTAGTACAAGTCTGTAAGTATGTTTCTGAGGTAGTGAGTACTTATTCTAAATATTTTTTTAAGCCCAAGATTGAAAATTTCAGGTGTGACAGGTTTTTCATAAATTTCCAGTTTTCAACATGGCACTCAAAAGAGGTCACTTAGAAATTTCATTTTACCTTTTAGGGAAGAGTTAATTTGTTCTCTTCAACCTTATGTTTATTATGGAAGCACCTGATTATTTCAAGCCTTTATTTCTAGGGCATTGATGTCTTTGTTCAGCTTTTTTTTTTTTTTTTTTCAGTCTGCAGACACATGTATGCAGATATAGAAGTATTTTGCAGAAGAACTGTTTATCTGGAAACCCATAGTGAAAATACTTCATGTGGTGCATTTCATTCTTCTACTTTGGACATTTGAAGAACAAGAGGGAATGTTGTAAAATGGTCAGGGTAATCGTGCTGGTTTAGATATGGTACTAGTGGTTTGCTTTATGACTTTAAGTTTAGAGTCTTCAAAATAGTATATTCATTGATTTGGAAGGAACTGCAGTTGACTCCGAGGCCTCTCAGGTAGGGCTTATGAATTTGTCCTTTCTGAAAATGTGTCTCTTTCCTCTGTATAGCACTTTATCTCACTCCCTCTCTTGTGTCCCTGTGAGAGGCTCTGTGAAGACCTGATTCTCCCCAGAGACAATTTCATCCCATAAGCACTTCACCTAAAAGGACTTGGACAGGTCACACAATGCCCTTTGAACGGGAGCAGGCCCTAGTCCTGCTGCCACCATCAGCAAAGGCCGAGGACTCCCTATTTTCTGGACCAGATGCTGCCACACAAGAGGAACCCTCCAGCCCTGAGATTGCACGCCAGCTTTTCAGGCAGTTTCGTTACCAGGTGATGTCTGGGCCCTGGGAGACCCTGAGACAACTTCGGAAGCTCTGTTTCCAGTGGCTGCAGCCAGAGGTTCACACTAAGGAGCAGATCCTAGAGATCCTGATGTTGGAACAGTTCCTGACCATCCTGCCTGGGGAGATTCAAATGTGGGTGCGGAAACAGTGTCCAGGCAGCGGAGAGGAGGCAGTGACCCTTGTGGAGAGCTTGAAGGGAGACCCCCAGAAACTGTGGCAGTGGGTAAGCAGAGGATATTATGATCTGTGAGTGAAGCACAGGGCTCCTGTAGGGTCTTATCAGATGTGTTACCTTTTTTCTGACACCAAATATGTGGAAGTGCCCCATTTCAGCTACCAGTCACAAGTCATAAGGGCCATCCATACTTATGACTGACTGGCTATAAATCTGGAGGTTCCCACAACCCTCTCCTTAGATAATTTGTTAGACTCATAGAACTCAGGAAAACACTTTATTTACATTTACCAGTTTATTATGAAGGATATGACTCAAGAATAGTCAAATGGAGGAGATAGCTTCACATAGCTTCCATGAGTTTTCTGGGCCACCCATTTCTATGTGTTCACCAACTCAGAAACTCTCTGATCTTCACAGTTTAGGGGTTTTTATGTAGGTTTTATTGCATGGTTATGATTGATTAATCGTTGGCCATTGGTGATTGAAAATTCCCAGCCTCTTTCTTTTCCCTGAGGTTGAGGGATGGGGCTGAAAATTCCAACCCTCTAATACCCTGGTTGGTTCCTCTGGTGACCAGCCTCCAGTCTGAAGCTATCTAAGGGCCCACCAAGAGTCATTTCATTAGCATAAACTCAGGTATGATTGACGGGGCTCGTGAATAACAAAAGTCACTCTTTTTATTCCTGTCCTTCAGGTAATTCTAAGAGTTTTAGGAGCTCTGTGTCAGGAACCAGGGACAAAGACCAAATATATATTTCTTGCTATACCACATCAGTGTATCCCCATGCCTAACATAATTCTTAGATTCCTTGTGACTCTCAACACTTTTTAGCCATTATGGTTTGACGATAAGTTCTCCCATCCTATTCCATCTTAGACTAGAAATGTTTGAGAAGTTGTTCAAAACACACTGGAATTTCAATTGGTAGAGACAGTCCAGTAGAAACATAATATTAGTGGCATTTCTCAAAGGCCTGCCAGCCCTACTTCAGGTCTCAGCTTTTGGGCTCTCTCAGGATACTTCCCTCACTGGACTAGAAGTAAAAGCTGTTTTTTTCTTTCGCCATGCTATGCCCTTGAGGACTGCCTTATGATCTGTTATAGAAGGTTATTTCGTATCTTTCAGAAACCCTCACTCTGGATCTTTCAGTAATTAGTACTATGTGGTCTCTAGATCAGCATCCAAGTTCTGGGACAGGACATCTTATCCGAGAAGGTGGAATCTGCAAGCTGCCAAGTGGGGGAAGTGGAGTCCCATCTTGAAGTGATGCCTCAGGAGCCGGGACTTCATAATTCACCTTCTGTTCCAGAGGAGCCACTGAGCCACATCGTGAAAGAAGAATCTGACACAGAACAAGAATTAGGTAGGGACAGTTATTCATGGTGGTGTGTGGTGCTATATTGGAGAAATTTGGGGATTGTGGTTAGTAGGCCTGAGAGTGAGTTGAAAATGATAATGCTGCCCATGTTAGGGTATCTCTAGAAAGTCTAGAAATAGGGTAGACCTATATGATTCACTCTGATTTGGAGATTCAAAGCTCTTAATTTAAACCACTTTATTACTGGGCTAGACCTTTTGGATTTTGGTTCTGAGGAAGGAGGTAGGAGAAAATATGGGTGAGACTTTTGGGAATGTTGTAAGGAGTTGCAGTTTGTTAGGGAGGCAAATACAAGTCTTAGAATCATGGATGGTTGAAGAGGACATTTAGTTTTTCAAACTTCCTTCTCACTTCAGCATTGGCTGCTTCTCACCTTCCTGCTCAATCTGAGGAAAGGCTCATCAGAGAACAGGACTTTGGAGCCTCACTTCTCCAAACGGCACCTCAGGTGAGCTGGGTTGCCTTGCTTCTCTTACCCCTGAACCAGGCTTTGAGGATGTGTCAGTAAGGAAGATTGAAAGGAGAAGGATTCTCAGAAATGGAGTAGAAAGAAAGACCTCGGTAGGATAACGAGAATAATACCTGTAGTACAAAATCTGAGTTTCAATAGGCAGAATGTTTCCTAATTGTCATCTTGAATAATGGAATCTGGGCCCTGGGAGAAGTTGCTGTGAAGAGTCAATCTTGTCTCTACTTTTTAATTATCTTTGGGTTATGCTACGAAAAGACTATTTCATTTCCTGGTCTAGGCATTTCACATTGGAGTCAGTTTGAGATTTTCCTCTGGTGACCAGCCTCCAGTCTGAAGCTATCTAAGGCCCCACCAAGAGTCATTTCATTAGCATAAACTCAGGTATGATTGACGGGGCTCGTGAATAACAAAAGTCACTCTTTTTATTCCTGTCCTTCAGGTAATTCTAAGAGTTTTAGGAGCTCTGTGTCAGGAACCAGGGACAAAGACCAAATATATATTTCTTGCTATACCACATCAGTGTATCCCCATGCCTAACATAATTCTTAGATTCCTTGTGACTCTCAACACTTTTTAGCCATTATGGTTTGACGATAAGTTCTCCCATCCTATTCCATCTTTAGACTAGAATGTTTGAGAAGTTGTTCAAAACACACTGGAATTTCAATTGGTAGAGACAGTCCAGTAGAAACATAATATTAGTGGCATTTCTCAAAGGCCTGCCAGCCCTACTTCAGGTCTCAGCTTTTGGGCTCTCTCAGGATACTTCCCTCACTGGACTAGAAGTAAAAGCTGTTTTTTTCTTTCGCCATGCTATGCCCTTGAGGACTGCCTTATGATCTGTTATAGAAGGTTATTTCGTATCTTTCAGAAACCCTCACTCTGGATCTTTCAGTAATTAGTACTATGTGGTCTCTAGATCAGCATCCAAGTTCTGGGACAGGACATCTTATCCGAGAAGGTGGAATCTGCAAGCTGCCAAGTGGGGGAAGTGGAGTCCCATCTTGAAGTGATGCCTCAGGAGCCGGGACTTCATAATTCACCTTCTGTTCCAGAGGAGCCACTGAGCCACATCGTGAAAGAAGAATCTGACACAGAACAAGAATTAGGTAGGGACAGTTATTCATGGTGGTGTGTGGTGCTATATTGGAGAAATTTGGGGATTGTGGTTAGTAGGCCTGAGAGTGAGTTGAAAATGATAATGCTGCCCATGTTAGGGTATCTCTAGAAAGTCTAGAAATAGGGTAGACCTATATGATTCACTCTGATTTGGAGATTCAAAGCTCTTAATTTAAACCACTTTATTACTGGGCTAGACCTTTTGGATTTTGGTTCTGAGGAAGGAGGTAGGAGAAAATATGGGTGAGACTTTTGGGAATGTTGTAAGGAGTTGCAGTTTGTTAGGGAGGCAAATACAAGTCTTAGAATCATGGATGGTTGAAGAGGACATTTAGTTTTTCAAACTTCCTTCTCACTTCAGCATTGGCTGCTTCTCACCTTCCTGCTCAATCTGAGGAAAGGCTCATCAGAGAACAGGACTTTGGAGCCTCACTTCTCCAAACGGCACCTCAGGTGAGCTGGGTTGCCTTGCTTCTCTTACCCCTGAACCAGGCTTTGAGGATGTGTCAGTAAGGAAGATTGAAAGGAGAAGGATTCTCAGAAATGGAGTAGAAAGAAAGACCTCGGTAGGATAACGAGAATAATACCTGTAGTACAAAATCTGAGTTTCAATAGGCAGAATGTTTCCTAATTGTCATCTTGAATAATGGAATCTGGGCCCTGGGAGAAGTTGCTGTGAAGAGTCAATCTTGTCTCTACTTTTTAATTATCTTTGGGTTATGCTACGAAAAGACTATTTCATTTCCTGGTCTAGGCATTTCACATTGGAGTCAGTTTGAGATTTTGAATGCTTGTCTCCAATGTAGCACAGGTTAATCTCCCCCTACCCCCATCTTTCTGACAAATTTAAGGAGACATAATTGACAAACAATAAACTGCACACATTTAAAGTGTACAATTTGACATATATGCAAACATGAAACCATGAATGCAATCAAGATAATAAACATATCTGTCACCCCCAGAGGTTTCCTTTCCTTTCTGCTGCCCCTCTACACTCCCCCAATCCCGAGGCAACTACCGATCTGCTTTCTGTCACCATATATTAGTTTGCGTTTTCTAGACTTTTTATAAAATGAAATCATGCCATGTGCACTCTTTTTCCTGCATATAATGTATCTTTCTTGCTTGCTTCTAGTGTTTTCTCACTGGTTTTTAACAGTTCGGCTATGATGTGCCTTGGAGTAGTTTTCTTCATGTTTCTTGTGCTTGGTTGGGTTCATTGAACATCTGGGACCTGTGAGTTTATAGTTTTCATCAAATTTGGAAAATTTTTGATCATTATTTATTAAGTTGTTTTTTTCTGTCTCCCCTCCTTCTCTAATTCTTTGGGGACTCTGAGAATAATATGCATGTGGAATGTGTATAATGATACTGTACATACATATATTAGATCTCTTCAAATTGTCCATGGCTTACTGATGCTCTTTTCTCTCTTTTTTTTGTTTCACTGTGGATGGTTTCTATTTTTATGTCTTCAAGTTAATTAATCTTTTTTTCTGCAGTGTCTAATCTGCTATTAATCCTATATAGTGTATTTTTTCATCTCATGTATTTTTTATCTCTTGAAGTTTGAACTGGGGTTTTATTATATTTCTTGAACATATGGAATATAGTTATAATATTTGTATTAATGTCCTTGTCTACTAATTTATCAATTTTGATGTCAGTTTCAGTGTATGGATTAGTCTCAACAGTGACAAATATTAGTTGTGTTTTCCTGCTTCTTTGTATGCCTGGTAATCTTTGATTGCATGTCAGACATTGTGAATTTTACCTTGCTAGGGGCTTGATATTTTTGTATTTCTCTAAATGTTGTTGAGTTCTGATCTGGGATGCCGTTAAGTTACTTGAACAGTTTGTTATATGGCACCAGAGAAGCCTTTAGTCTGGGACTAATTTTTCTCCACTATTGAGGCAATATCCTTCTGATTACACTATTTGATCTTCTTGATATATAAGGTTTTTTATACTGACTGCTGGAAATATGGTGTATTTCCAGCACTGTACAACTTCAGGGGATTATTCCCTCTGCTTCTTTTGGGTTGTTCTTTCTTGGACTTGAGGGAGACCCTCTGCAGCTCTCTGGGGCTTTCTCTTGGTATGGCTCCATCACTCTGGGCTTCTGCCCTGCTAACTCTATAGCCTCTTTGGCTTCCCCAGACTCTGAGTTCCTTCTGCTCAACTCTGGGGGGCTGCCTGGCTCTGCCAGGGTTCCCCTACCTATGCTGCTCTGGATGCTCTCTCTAGGCAGTAAGTTTGGGCAACTGTAGGATTCCCTTAATTTGTGTCCCTGCTTTCAGAGATCTCTTTTCTGCTCTTCCTAATGTGCAATATCTGCAAACCATTGTTTTGTATATTTTGTTTCCTTTTTTTATTTGTTTTAGCCAGGAAGGTAAACCAGTACCTGTTATTCCATCTTGTCTGTAAATGAAGTCTCTGTGACAGGTTCATCTTGATTATATAGTTAACAACTCTGAAAAGTTGCATTTGATAAAAGTAAAGTTTTTCAGGAACCTATTCATCTTAATTAAAACATTGTTTCAAACCTTTGGGGAATTCTTCTTGAGACTTGCCTGGTGAGATAATTTAGAGTACAGGTGGATATAGGGAAACCAGTAAGTGGTGCTTAATGTGGGGCTGAAGACCAGGTCTGAGCTTCAGCTTTCGAAGCTCAAAGATTTAAAAACCAGAATACCAACTTTGTAGTTTACCCCAGGCTAGAGGGATTGGGAGAGGGGAGAGGAAGGATATACCTTTTAGTGATTCAAGGGTGCCCTTCCTGCTTTCAAGGTACCCAGAAACCAAATTGTTAGATAGGAGGTTACTTGGTGAAACAGGTTGGATATTCTGTTAAATATTTCAAGCAGAGTTGGAGGATTATAGTAAGTACAGAGTACCCCTATGAAAAGTATATATAATTTATTAACATATTTTAATTAGTAGAATTAAACATTAACTCCACGTAGCGTATTGACATTAACTATGACCTGTTCTGGATAGCTTAAAATTAAAACACTCAAAATCCTTACCAGCAGCACCATGTGTATATCTCTGTGTGTGTGCGTGTGCACTATATTTAGTAGATAGCTAATAGCCACTTGCTCAAACAAAAATCATCCCTACCCAATCCCAATATCCCTCCCTCGAACTAACAACAACTATTTTCAACGAAAAGACTTTGATATTCAATGGAATCCTTTGTAAGTGAAGGGATTATCTATCTATCTATCTATCTATCTATCTATCTATCTATCTATCTATCTATCTATCATTTTTTATTAAGTTTATTGGGGTAACATTGGTTAATACAATTATATAATTTTTAGGTGTACCTTATAATTTGACATATGTATATTCTATTGTATGTTTACCATCCAAAGTCCAGTTTCCTTTAGCTACCGTATATTTGATCCCCTTTACCCACTTCACCTTCCCCGACTCCCCCCTATATTTGATCCCCTTTACCCTGTCTACCTCACCCCTCCTCCCCGACACCCTAACCTGTGGTAAACACTAGTCTATTGT